AAAATCATAATAAAATTATCAGGTTTCTGTGGCCGTTCAGCCATACCCAGGGAAGTATTTCCAGGAAATAGGAACTGAAGAAAAAAAAAAAAAAGGCCAGAGAATGGAGAAATAGAGAGGTCTGCCCTCCACCACACCCCAGATCTGTAGATTTGTTGTTGTTGTTGTTGTTACTGTTGTTGAGACAGGTGCTCACTGTGTAGCCCTGGCTAGTCTGGAATTCACTATGTAGACCAGGCTGGCCTTGAACTCATAGAGCTCCACCAGCCTCTGCCTCCTGAGTGCTGGAGTTAAAGGTGTGTACCCCACTCCCAGCCTCTTTTCTCCTCCTTCCCTCCCTCTCTCCTTCTCTCCCTTCCTTTCTTCAGAGTCCCATGTAGCACAGGCTGGCTATGAACTTTCTTTGTAGCTAATGATGACCTTGATCTTCCTGCCTCCACCTCGTAAGTGCTGGGCCCACCAGCATGTGCTATCATACCCAGGTTTATGTGGTGCTGGGATGGAGGGATGGAACCCAAGACTTTATGCATGCTAAGCAGGCACTTTGCCAACTGAGCTACATCCCCAGACTGTAGATTTCTGTAGGTGCCCCTGCCTGTTTCCCACCATCTTTTTGAGCATTCCTCCATGCTATGCCTCTCTCTCTGCAAGTCTGGGAGCTAAAAGTGCTGCTCTGGGTATGTCTCTGTGCGGCTATGGAAATGCTCCATGCATACTCTGTGTGTCTTCACCTACCTACATACGCATCTTCCTTGGGGCACATGCGCAGTCATGTTATCCTTGTGTGCTTGGCCTGCTTGACTGCAGCATTTACATGTTGCCTTGCATTTCATACTCTGGGATGACAAGGTCTTTTTGTTTATTTGTCTTTTTTTTTTTTTTTTTTTGAGACAGGGTCTCCCTGTAGCCCCAACTGGCCTGGAACTTGCTATGTAGACCAGGCTGGCCTCAATCTTACAGAGATCCACCTACCTCTACCTCCCCAGTGTTGGGATTAAAGATGTATGCCACTACACCCAGCAAGTTCTTTTATTCCTCCTTTTTCCTGGATCTGAACTGTTTGAAGCCTGGAAGGTGAAGGCATGAAGTGGAAGCACGTTGGGGTGGAGGCATGGGGCTGGAGACATGAGGTAGAGGCAGGTGGTGGGGGCTAGGGGAATGGAGGCATAAGAGGGTAGAGGCAGGACACTTTCCCTCTCTAAGATTGCCCATTGTTAAGAGGCAGCAGTCACCAGAACTCACCTCTGATAGGCTGACAACTGGGAGAAAATGTGCACTGGGTACAGTGGGGAGAAAAGGGCACTGAAGGTACCCCTTCTGGGAATGAGAGAAGCAAGAGTACAGATGGGTGAGGAGGGGACCTGAGGGAGACACTTGTGGATGAGTGATTTTTCTTTTGCATCTAAATTGTTAGAGCATCACTCAACTTCTGGGACAGGGGCTCCCAGGGAAAGGGACATCCTTACCCCCAAGCTCCACCCTCCTCAGCTTCCTTCTAAGCTATATGCCTCTGGCAAGGAAAGTCATCCCAGATGCAGTGAGGTGGGTGCTAGAATACCTGGAATATGCTTTTGGAAAACAAGATGTTTCAGTGGCCCTGGGGACAGAAAGCTGACACTAGATTTGCCATCAATACAATGGAAAGGATTGCAGTTAGACACCAGGCAGAACCAAAGTGCTGGAGCCCATGAGGAGAGAGGGGAGCAGAGAACAGAAAGGACATCTCATGGGTGACTTGGAAACAGGCAGCCACTGTCCACCTCTGATGGTTTCTGCTCCACTCTATCTATATGCCTTATAAATCCTAGGGAAGTCCTTGACTCCAAAGCTGGGTCTCCACAGGCCTCAGCTCTACCTGGATAACATTCCATTGCCTCTGGATCCAATCCCAGAGGCAAGTCCAGGCATCCAAACTCCAGTGAGGCCGGGGCTGAGTAATCAGCAGCTACAGCTATGTAGACGTGTTGTCGGGGGAAGGAGCAGCTCCCCACCCCCACCTTGCACAGGCACAACGGATTTGGAGGAGGAGGAGGGGCTGCCTGTCACTCGGGTGTCTTCCTACCCCCTCTCCCACTGCCACACTCTCCTTCTTCCCACCTGCAAGTAATTTGGCCAATGGGAGGGCAGCTAAGATTGCTGTGTGGAATCCTTCTAGATCTGGGTGCATTTGGTGAGGAGGGGGCTACCTCCTTCCCCACCCCAGACCCTGAGTAACCTTTTCCTCTTCACAGAAGCAAATTACTCATAATTATCTCACATCCAAAGCCTTCAGGAGCTACTTCCAAAATTGCTTTAATTGAATTAATTGAATCTCATTTGGTCTGGGGAGAGAATGGGGGGCATGCCTTAAAATAGTAGAGGTGAGCGACCCAGAGGGAGGCAGCTTTCCCGTGGCTGAGACCACAGAGCTTGACAGCATGTGCCTGGACATTCTGCAACACACTGCTCATTTTGCAGCCCCAGCTGATTTTAGATGTGCAGGCAGCTGCCCTCTTTGCACTGGAGGACTTTACCTGGGTCCCGTTCTCTAATGGTGGTGACTGGGATGTGTTGAATTGTATCTCCAGCTCAATTCTTCCTTCCCACCCTAGGGAGGTACGTCTATCTGCCTAAGCAAGAGGTAAATGAATGACAGCAGCATGAACTCACCCTAGAGGTGAGCCCTCCCCTCTCATTATCAACAGCAGCAGATTGTGAATGCATTTATAACCTGCTTACTATGTTCCAGGCACTGTGTCTAGCGAGTTTCAAGCACTATCTCATTTCATCATCACAACCACATGGCAAAACAAATCCTATCATTGTGGCTGGCTGAGGGGATAAGAAGTAAAGCTCAAGCCAGGCATAGTGGGTGCATGCCTTTAGTCCCAGCACTTGGGAGGCAGAGGCAGGCGGAAAGAAAGGAAAAAAAAAAAAGAAGAAGAAGGAAAGAAAGCTCAGAGAGCGGTTAAGAAACTCGCCGAAAGTCACAACTGGGACTTTTAGGAGACCAAAGTCTATACTCAGTCTCCTAACCCTTCCCTTAGTGATCCAGTGTTCCCAGTGGGGCCTCATCACGGGAAGAAAACGCAGGGTTCCTCTTCAGTAGCACCAATAGCTAGGGAGCCGGAAGTGGAACACCTTTCCTGTTGGGATTCGTCCAGGCTCACTACCACCTCAGAGTCCAGGGCAACTGGACCAGTTCCCAAATGGAAAAGAGATTCCTGTTTTCCCTGGAAAGGGCACATGGAGGTAAGGGAAGAGGATGCTGCGGGCTCAGCTGGCCATGGCTGGGAGAGCAATTACACTCCTGCTACTTAACTTTACAATCCAGGCTGTTGTTTTAACGATGTGACTCGTGTTGGGCTGGCCAATTAATCTGCCTTTGGAGGCTTTCCGAGATGGGGCGGTAGATCTTATCTTGCTCTGTGGAAAGAGGAGTGTGTAGCCTGCATGGTAGGGAACAGCTGCCCCCAGGGCCCTTGGCCTCAGAGAAGACCCAGAGGAGCCATCTGGGACCAGGCACCCCTCAGAGCAATGGAGCTGGGGTCCAAGGACCAAGAGGAGGATCTGGAGGAGCAATTGGGGCTAAGGGCTTTTAAGTGGGCACTCTCATTCCCCACTGCTCTAGGGCCTGGACTTTGACCCATTCTGTGTCATTTGCTTGTCCTCAAGGAATTCCTCCTTGTGTCTTTTGGGGACTGGGTGTGCTACTGACCCAGAAGTGGGGCAAGGAAAGAGTGCTTGCAGGTGGGACCCTTCTACTGTATATGACATTCTCTTTGCCCTCCCTATGACCCTAAGCCAGGCTTCTCTCTAATGCTAGGTTGACTGGAAGTGCTCTAGTGGGCATTTCAGACTGGAGCTTGTGCCCCAGTTTGCTCCGATTGGAACAGGTTCAGGCAGTGAGAGGGAGGCTGATCTTTGAAGCCTTTTGCCTGCAATAGGAGGCCCCTCCCCAGCCCCTGGGGCCACTCTGGGCTGGATTCCCTGAATGACTGGCCCTGTCCTCAGCAGGGCTCCTCCATGCTGCATGTTTGGGGGGTGCAGTGGCATGGCACAAACGGTGCTACCAGGTCCTGCTGCTCTGGGAGCTGCCTAGCCTTCTCACATGGCCTAGATCCCATTGGCCCAGGTTGGACTACAGCATCAGGACAGTGCCCACACAGCCTCTGTCCTGCACCTCCTCTGCCTCTTACCATACTGCCTCTGGTCATATATTGGGCCACATGTTAGCCTAAAGCATCTATTCTGGTCACAGTGGTATCCCCAGGATCTAACCCAGAAGGGGCTCTGCAGATGTGTGATAGATGGAGAATTCCAGTTCTTTCTAGTGTTTTCCTCCCCCACCCCTTCTGGTGGGCTGAGGTCATTCCACCCTCAACAGTTCACTTCTCCTAGCAGGACTGGTCAGGCTCAGTGGGCGTGTCCTCTCACCAGGAGCATGGGGGCTGTGAAGTGCCTGGCTCCCTCCACAACTGGGCCAGGAAGAATCTGCTGATGAAAACCATTCTGACCTTGGCCATTCCCCACATGAGATTCTTCAGAGCTAGACCCACAGAGCTAGCTAGCTAGTGGCAGAGGCCAAACAAGAATTCAGTGTCTGTGATGCCTAGTTCACAGGGAGGACATGTCAGCTAAGAGAGAAGAGATGAGTACTCCAACCAGAGTCAAACCAGGAGACAAACATGCCTCACAGCCAGGACCAGTTCCTTGGATGGAGGCAGCTGTGAGGGGCTGAAGTACCAGCCTACCCCAACTGTTTGGGGGCAATTATGCCTGCACTGACCTAGAGAACCTGCTTGTCCCATTTCCCCCATATCGTCAGCCTTCTGGGTTTCCAGGAGTGTGTGCACACGGACTTGTTAGGTATCAGGGATGGGAAATCAGAGGCAATGGGCTCTTAGTAAATATCTGTTGGATGAAAGAATCGGTCTATGATCTATCAACTCAAAATGGGTAGACATGGGGGTAGAGAACCTTTTTTAAGAAAGGATAAATTACCACAGATCAACACTTCATAGTTTTTTGTGTTGTTTTTGTTTTTGTTTTTTTGGTGCTGGTGCCTCATACATACTAAGCATGCTCTCTGCCATTAGACCATACCCTCAGTGATGGAGGTAATGGGTTGACCACCAGGAATAACCAGGTAGGTGAGCAGCAGGGACCAGATGATGACCAACTTGGAGACTCTGTGTCCTCTTCTGCTTCTGTTCACACATGGGCTGGGTAGGGGCTGAGATGCAAGCAGAGAACAATATTTGGTTTCCTCCTGGTTTGGATCCTAGCCTGCGATGGGATTCCAGTCCTTTGAAGTGGAAGAGGAGTGGCAAGACCCTGGCAGTCTAAACTCCAGCTGATGACACTTTCTCTAAAGACTTTGTCCCAGTGGAGGGAGTTGTCCAGTCCATGGTAGCAGTGAAGGCAGTGGTAAAGGCTGAAGTCCTTGATTTGGCTCTCTAGTTTAGAGAGCCGGCCTCCACCCCATTCTTTTTGTTCCTCCTGCTTCTTGTCTTCTGAGAAAGCCCATCTGGAGCCAGTTTCCTCTCCTCCCAGAAGGGGTGCAGGTGTGCTGGACCTGGACTTGGCAGGAGAGCTAAAGCCTGACCAGTCATTCCCCAGACTCACATCATCTGAGGCAGAGCCAGCACATCTGGGGAGTGATGCTGATACCAGGCTCCAAAGTTGTTGCCATAGCCACTGGTGGACAGCGTACCTCCCTTGGGTAGATCCCAGAGGGATGAAAGGGGTGGAGAGCAGGTAGACAGAGAGGGGGGTCTCCTGGAGAAGTCCCCTTCCTGCCCCCCAGAATTCTGCTTCAGGAACTTCTTATATTTGGAGCGTTTGTTCTGAAACCAGATCTTTACCTTGGGGGAGATGAGGACAGAATAGAAGATCAGAGGAAGGGTGTGAGGAAGGGAAAGGGACCTGGCTGTAGAGAGTGAGTCCTGGGAGCTTTTGTGCCAGTCCTCCAGCCTGGAAATCGCAAGTTTCCACTTCAGTTCTTGGTGCCCTCTTCTTGAGCCTCCTCCCCTCTAATATATTCCCCCAACACTTGCTGAGGACCAGCCAGACATGAGCACTCACTGAAGAACTGTGACAACAGGGCCAAGGGACTCATCTGTGAAGCACAGAGGTTGCCAGAGAGCAGGTGCTAGGAAGGTTAGACTAGGCAAGGATGGGACTGGCCCTACCTGGGTTTGGGTGAGGCCAAGCTGCGCTGCCAGCTGGGCCCTCTCCGGCAGCGCCAAGTACTGCCTGTGCTGGAAACGCTGGTTCAGGTGCAGCAGCTGGAGGCTGGAGTAGATGGTCCTCGGCTTGCGCGGCTTCCTGGAAGGGGGCTGCTGGCACTGCTGAGAGGGCTCTGGGGACAGCAGCTTCTCAGATTCTAGGAGGCAGAAGACTGTGTAAGTCTGAGGAGTGAGTGGGTAGGTCCGGCATTTTGATAGGCTCCTTGTACCTCCTCTGGGTGCCACAGAGAATCAGCAAAAAGTGCAGCAACTGCAGTGAAACTGTCTCAGTCCGGGACCCTGCCTATCTATCTCTGCCTTCTCAACTTCCACGTTCACTGTGTGACAGGTGATACAAACTGCAGCTCTGGCCCTCTGGGAGTTAACACGCACGGTTTCTGTGCGCTAAAATCTCAAGAGCCAGAGGGAGGCTACTCTGGAACCTGTGGTGGAAGTGGGAGTTCGGCTGCTGTGGTAGCGCCCTCGGAATAGGGCGGGGCAAAAGGCTCAAGGAAGGCCGAGCTAAGGCCTAGAGACGAAAAGGGAACCTCATTCCAGGCCAAGAAACCCAGAAGCAGTACTGAGGCCAGAGACAGTGTCGGTATGGCATCCTCTGGCCAGGAAAGATGTATGCATGAGCCAACCTTGAATGCCGGTATCAAGGCGTGAAAAGTTGACCCAAAGTGTTTGTCTTCCCTTCCCCTGCAGGAAAAGACCATCTCTCTTTCCCAGGGCCTGTTGCCTCAGGGGAGACGTTTTCAGGGACCTCACAAGCCAAACTGATGTGGGAAAGCCCTGCTCTCCGCTGAGCCACAAGCACAGACGAATTCCCGCGTGGCAGGGAAGGTGGCCCAGGATCTGAAAGCTCAGCGAACCGCAGAGCAGGTCGTTACCACCTCCCCTGGATCGCGCGACGGTGTTGTGGTGGAAGATCTGGTCCCCTACTGCCCGCCTGCTTCTCCAGGAATCTGCTGCGGGTTGCGGCTCTGGGATTGGGGCGAGAGGTTTCCATTCTTGAAAGCTCTGCCTCATCCAGTTCCACTCTACTGAGACACTGGGACGGTCCCAAGAGAAAGGAAGTTGGTGGATGAAGCGGCCAAAATGCCCAGGGTCTTTGAGAGACGGTCACCACATTCCATGAGTGTTCTTGCGGACCACAGCCGAGACTGAGAGGCCCCAGTGCCCGGGCGGGCGCAGCTCGCCCCCCGTCCCCCATCTATCCCTCAAGCTGGTCTCACCTCACACGCATAAGGGTCCCCGCCCTAGCCAGGAGCGGTCACCAGTTGCCTTCACTTTCCCCCGCACCCCTCACCCGTGGCCTCGGTTGCTGCGGGCTTCACAGATCCTCCTCATTCGACCCCCCCTCCCCCGCCGCCTCAGCCAATTCCCAGAAAAACCTTTGGGTTTCCGCTCTCGCCTTCTCCCGTCGGGCCTCCCTGCTTCAACCCCACGCCTCACAGCCCAGAGCTGGCAACCGAGCGACCACCAGAGCCTCTCGCGCTGCGTGGATCGCGCAAAGCGGGTGATGATGCTCTGAGAGCGGCGGGCGCGGAAGCCTCGGCTACTGAACTCTCCGAGCCCTCTGCGCCCCAACTCTCCGAGCAGACCACCTCCAGGTTCCTTCCAGGACAGATGCCTTTCTCCACACTAGTAGCGGCAAGTCACAAGTGGATCTACCAGGGTCTTGATAACGGATTCCCAGGGCATCCCTGGAGGCTCCGCAGCCGCACTCCCAGTCTCAATGAGGTGTTAATGCGGCCCTTTGGAAGCCAAACCCCCTCCCTGAGGAAGAGGGGCACGAAGTGGGTGGGGGTAGGACCCCCACCCCCAAGGCCTTCTCTCACACTCCAATTCATTCATTCTGGAGTGGGCGGAACGCACAGTTCCAACAGTGAAACTCTACAATCTATTTTAAAGACATCCATATGACTATTTCAGCGCTTACGGTTTTTCGCTGGATCCGGGTAAAATCTGTAATAAAAGGAACTCTTTACTCCATTGTCCTTGGACCAAGAAACGAAAGGCAGAGTGTGGAAAACAGGCCCGACAATGCCATTATATTGCCAGAATAGCTTTCCCCAGGGTAAGGTCAGGTTCTTCAACCCCATTCCTAACACACAGACACGTGCCCTCGCACGCGCGAGCGCGTGTGCACACACACACACACGCACACACACAGTGGCCCAGGCAGTTCTGGAACTCAGGATCCTCCTAGTGTATATGACCATATCTTTAACAGTCCAAGAAGTTCATCTGTATAAATTAGATATGAATGTAAAATTCCACCCCCCACCCCCATACACAAACACAACAGTCCCTCCTCCAACCAGACCCAGCAGAATGCACCCCTAGTTCTGCTATAGACAGACATTAACGTTCTGGGGTTCTAAGAAGTTCCCTAAAGCCCTCTCTCCTGGGCCCATGCATGGATGAATGTGGATTTTCCCAGTGCGAGGAGACTGGAAAACAAGTTGTGTCATTGATTCATACATATCCTTCCTTCCTGCCTCAGTTTCCCCACTCATAAGAATTTGAGGCCCATTTTATGGATGATTTTGGGCTTTGGAGGTGAATTTATGTAAGAGTAGCCGGGAGGGGAAAGAAACATCTTGGTCCTGAGTTGACTGCAATGAAATCACCTGGTGGGTGTGCATCCTTGGAGAAGACTGTGCCAAAGACACAATGACACCAGGTCAGGGAGTCAGTATAGCTGGGTCTATGGATAAAACACTTGCACTGTTAACCAATGTTTGTGAATTCAGCTGTGCAAAGCACAGGGCTAGGAAGACCAGCTAGTCCCTTGCTTTCCACTGAAGCCTTCCAGTGAGCACTTTCTCAGGAGCTCAGTTTGCCTCTGGCAACAGGAATTGGGAACTAACCCATTCCAAAGTCAAAGGTTTATGGTAGGGATAGCCTGGGTGGAGGGCTGTAGTGGCCAGAGAAAGATGTGAGACTGCTGGACCAGCCTGTGATTCTACTGTTGAACAATGGTTGGTGGGGTCCTACCCCTGGACTCTGTTGGAACCAGCTACCAACTAGCAGACAAGGTTAGGCACGTCTAGGAAAAGGGGGTGGGGCACAGGAAGGGAGAAGGAGGCTCCGCCTAGTTGTCTGCCTCCTTCCAACTGGGAACTGATTTCTAGTTAGCAAGGTTTGGCTACTGCACTGGTTTCTGGGACTAGGCAAACTCAAGAGAGGCAACGGGTAAGGAGAGTGTGAAGGATAGGGAGAATTCAGAGGAAGGGGCTTGGGTCTCCACCCCCACATCTGGATTGTGGCAGTTTTCCACAGAGGTATACACAACTCCAGGGCTTCAGAGGGTGGGGTAGGGAACCCTCCTTCCTGGCTTCACAAAACTGCAAATCAAAACCAGGTCGTGTTTTAAAATGAGACCTAGATCAATTCGCCCCTCATCTTCCCCCACATCCTCACCCTTCTGTCCCATCTCTGCCCTACCCCTACCCCTACCCCAGATCTCCTGGGATCCTAGTAAGGTTTGAATCCCGCTAGCTGCGCCGCGGGCACATTTACCTGCTTGGAGTTCCTGGTGGTGTTCAGCGGGCCCGCAGAGGGGCTGAGATGGCGCCGAGGGTTGCTGGCAGGGCAGGTAGGAGTCTCCCGGGGTTGCCGGCCTGGTGTAGGAGGAGTAGGACAGGAGGTGACCATACGGCCGGGGGTAGGACAAATCCGGGGAGGCTGCGGTTGTCGGGCGTAGACCAAACGGATAGGCAGCCACCACTGTCGGGACGGGGGCGAGGTCCCGGAAGACAACTTTGGAGACATCCCGGCCAGGGAGGGGACAGGGCAAAGAGGTCATTGTGGCCGGGGCCCGGGCCAGAGGGCCTAGGTCATGGCCGGTCCACTAGTCGCTGCCAACTCTCTCCCAAGCCTCCAGAGTTGAGGCAGATGAGCGCCCCCAGCTAGCCGCCCCCACACTTAAGATCCCAGGGAAAGTGTCTCTCTGCGCCTCTTCCGGAGGAGAGTTCCCACCCGGGAAAGGGATTTCGGGGGTGCCCCATGGTTACCCCCCAAGTCCCTGAGGGGCCCCCTCCCCTCCACCAGGTTCGGTTCCAGGGACCCGACGGGCCCCCCCCCCCGCCCACTTAGACGTTCCTGATTGGCTATCGTACTCGGTGACCTCACGGAGGCCCGGAGCAGAGCCCGCCCCATTAGGACTGCGCGGGTAAGCCAGAGGAGGGGTGAGATGCGCCAGCTCCAGGCTGTCCGTCTCCGGGTTGCTGGGTGACCTGGACGCTCAGGAAACCTCAGTCACTGGCCGAAGTGCTAGGGAGTTGGCGGAGCTGGGATAACCAAGGGACCAGGAGAACTGAGCGGTGATTGGACACGCCGCGGCTGCGGGGACCCAGAACACACTATTCGCGCTCTGCTCGTCTCTCGGGTACACACGGCCCCATGCTGCCCGGGCTCTGCCAGCGAGGGGAAAGCAGACCGCCAGGGCCGGGTGCTTATTCAGCGCGTCGGAATGCGTCGCTGCTGAGCGATGGCAGTTTGTAGGTAAACAGACGCCGGGCCCTGGAGGGTGCAGCCTGGCGCCCAGCCTGCCCCGCACGCGCGCAGTGCGCACGCCCCCGCGGGGCGCCCTGGGCCTGGCACGCTGCGACCGCCGCGACCGCGCCTCACCGCCCCCCTTGCAGGCTTCCGCTTCCGGCAGGGGCCCCAGTGTGGTTGCGACACCGCAGCTTCAGCAGGCCCCTGAGGCTGCAGGAGGGATCTGCTGTCTGGGATGCGCCTGTGCTGAGCCCCGCCTTTCCTGGCACCGTACGTGGCTGTAGCCTTGCCTGAACTGGGACAAAATCTGGGAGTGGGGATGAATCCAGTTTGATGGCTCCTGGGAAGGCACAGGAAATACGACTAGCTCATCTGTAATTTCCAGGCTGTGGTGCAGGACCTACTACTAAACAGTACTCAAGTCCTCGATGGATATGTTTCCCTGCCTACAAGCATCTATTGCCACGTGTGCACAGATACACAGGGACTCCATTCAAACACAACGTATGTGTTATTACAGACCAATATAAAAGTGTCTTTCTATGAAAAGAGAGGTTCATTTATGAACCTGTAAACACAAAGAATTTAGGCTATGGTGTACATAGATCTACACACTCAAATATGAAAAATCCTTGTATAAAAATACAGTCAATCCAAGCATATGAGTATTTATGCACATGTACCTGGTCCTGTGAGAGATACGTGTCCCCACACATCTGTGATACTTAAGAGATAGTTCTATCCCCAAACCCATGAGTTCTCAGATTCCCCAGCAAATCACACTCTTTCTCCCCGTGTATGCAACTTGGCAAGCATCTTCATGCTGATACAAACACACATTATCAGGGCTCAGAGTGAAGGTAGCAATCTTGGGGGTGGTGAGAGAGGACAGCTGTCAGAAAGAGGCAAGACTGGAAGAGTAAGTGAAGGCACTGGTCTGTGGGCAGACCCAGGCCTTCTGAAAAAAGACAAAGCTCCTCTGGGGGATGTACAGGGATCATTGATAGGTCAGGCATCCTATAGGAGAAAAGCGATCTATTTTAAATGCCCCCTCCCATTAGGCAGAAATGAGTTTTGCCAGAAAAATACCTACCTGCATCTGACATAGAGTTCTCTACCCTGGAACTCTGTAGAAGACCCTCTTTCTCTGGGTGGCTGGAGAGGGTGTGGGGGTTCGCTTGGTAGGTAAAGGTTATTTTCATGTGAGACCACCTTTTTCCCTTTCTTACCCTGCTCCAACCATGCTGCACCTCTTTAGAGCTGAGGCTACAGACTTCTAAGTATATTGTTTTTCATGTCTTCCTTTCTGTAGCATCATCCTGTTCCCTAGGAGAGGCTGCCATGGTGTTTCCAAAGATGGCCTCTCTGGGTATATGAATCAGACAAAGAGAATACCCTTTGAGGTGGGGTTAGCTGTCAGGGCAGGTTTCATAAGAGGGTACTTTTGAGCTAGAATGGAAAGGATGATGGAAGGCCTGTCCTCCCAGGGCCAGGTACCCTGAATCCTGTCTGTGCTACCGCTAACAAGGAAGGGTAGGGATAGATCTTTTGGCAGGCTCAGCAGCAGTTGGCTTTTGGCTCTCCTCCAAAGCAAGGAGGTCCCTAGTGAATGCTTCTTCTAAGCTCCCCTGTGTGTTCAGGAACATTTTGAAGTTAAGTTGGGCCTGTGTTCCTGTGCAGCAACAGAAACACCCTGCAGCTCCACAGAACTTAAACACACAAGATCCAAGCCCCATGCATTATCACCAAAGCCCTGATAAGAAGGTGCTGTTACTGTCCTCCTCCACCATCCCCTACCTCTTCCCACCTTCCAAAGTACACGGGACCAAGGTACTTGTTGAGAAACCATAGGGGTCTTCCTAGATGAAGATTCCCGGGAAGGGGGTCTCCCAAAGATCCCCCCAAAACAGGAGTCACATCTGGCAAACACTAAGAAAGATAGACATGAAGGGGATATAGACTGGAAAGAACAGTAATTGTATTTGTTCGGGATAAAGAAAGGGCAGTATTGAGAGATCCAAAACCTGGGTTCCCACCCTAGATCAGCTTCCAAGTAGCTGGCTTGGTCAGCCATTTTCTGCCAGACTGCTAGAAAGAATTGAAAGAGGGAGCTGGACTAAGATTCTAACCTTTCGTTGTTTGCTGTGTGATGCTTTGCAAAACCCCAAATCCAAGAACATAAAACTAAGGAGGAAGGGACCAGAGGAGGGAAGGGGAGAGAATGAAGGAAGAAGGGAGGGAGGGAGGGAGGGAGGGAGGG